CTTCCTTCCTTCCTTCCTTCCTTCCTTCCTTCCTTCCTTCCTTCCTTTTTCCTCCCTTCCTGCCTTTCTCTTCACCTTCCTTTCATCTTTTCGTACAGAGACAGTATACCATTTTCCATAGATGTTCTTAGTTGCAGACCTTGTACAACTCTTCTAATACACAAATGTTCTTGATTGTTGACTGTTTTATGGAAAGTACCTTGTTACACTGATATGTTCTGGAAAATTTAGAAGACAAAGAAGCGTTTATTATTCTCTCTGCTCCTAACAGTAATTATACTTATATGGAAACATAACCAAAGTGCTCATTTTCATGTGTTAATAATTTGTCTATTTAAATTTAATTTTTTAAATAATTTATTCACTTTACATCTGGACTGTAGCCCCCTTCCCTCCTCTCCTCCAGGTCCCAACCTTCTTCTCTCATCCCTCCTATTCCTTTCCCCTAGTCCTCACAAATGGAGAACCCTCCTCCCTACCATTTAACCCCCACCTATCCAATCTCATTAGGACTACCTGCATCTTATTCCTCTGTGACCTGGCAAGGCCCCCCACCAGGAAGAACTGAACAAAGAGTGGGCAACCAAGTCTATGCCAGAAACAGCCCCTGCTCCCCTTACTAGGGTTCTCACATGAAGAATGAGCCTCCTATTGGCTACATCTGAGCAGGGGATCTAGGTCCTCTTCATGTATGGTCCTTGGTTGGACCACCAGTCTCTGAAAGCCCCTACTGGCATAGATTTGTTTGCTCTGTTGGTCTTCTTATGTATCTCCTGTCCACTCAGTCTCCTTCTATACTTCAACTCTTTTCTAGGACTCTCTAAAGTTTGGCTGTGAATCTTAGCATCTGCTTCAAACCCCTGCTGCATGGAGTCTTACAGAGGACATTTATGGTAGGCTTCCATCCTGATGCCTCTCTCAAACCACTTCTAGTGTTTATTCTATTTGCCCTTCGGAATGAGAATTAAGAATCCTCCACAGGGTCCTTCTTGTTATTTAACTTTGTTAGGTCTGTGGATTGTAGTATAGTTATCCTGTATTATAAGGCTAATATCCACTTATAAGTGGGTATATACTATATGTGTCTTTCTAGTTCTCACTCAGGATGATTTTTTTCTACTTCCATCCATGCTCCTGAAAATTTCATGATTTTCTTGTTTTTAATAGTTGAGTAATATTCTATTTTGTAAATGTTCCACAATTTCTGTTTCCATTCTTCACCTGAGGGACATCTAAATTGTTTCCAGATTTTGGCTATTATAAATACAGCTGCTATGAACATAGTTGAGCAAATGTCCTTCTTGTAGGGTAGAACATCTTTTGGGTCTAAGCCCAGGAGTGGTATAGCTGGGTCTTGATGTAGCACTATTTCCAATTGTCTGAGGAAGAATGACATTGGTTTCCAAAGTGGTTGTACAAGTTGGCACTCTCACCAGGAATGGAGGTGTGTTTCCTTTCTCAACAACCTCACCAACATGTGCTGACAATTGAGGTTTTGATCTTAGCCATTCTGATGGGTGTAAAATGAAATCTCAGAGTCATTTTGACTTGCATTTCCATGGAGACTAAGGATCTTGGGTATTTCTTTAAATGTTTTTCTGCCTTTTGGTATCCCCCCATTAATAATTCTCTGTTTACTATTGTACCCCATTTAAAAAATTGGATTATTTGGTTTGCGGGAGTTTAATTTCTTGAGTTCTTCATGTATTTTGGATAGTAGCCTTCTGTCAGATATAAGGTTGGTGAAAATCTTTTTCCAGTTTGTAGGCTGTCCTCTTGTTCTGTTGATAATGTCCTTTATAGAAGCTTTCCAGTTTCATAAGGTCCCATTTATTAATCATTGACCTTAGAGCCTGAGCTGTTGGTGTTCTGTTCAGAAAGTTATTTGTGGCAATGTGAATAAAGCTCTTTCTGACTTTTTCTTCTAACAAATTTAGTGTGTCTGGTTTTATATTGAGGTCTTTGATTCACTTAGATTGGACTTCAGTTTAGTACATTGTAATAAATATGGACCTATTTGCATTTTTTTACATGTACACATCTAGATAGAACAGCAGCATTTGTTGAAGATTCTATCCTTTTTTCATTGTATGGCTTCTTTGTCAAAGATCAAGTGTCCATAGGTTTGTAGGTTTATTTCTGGGTCTTCAGTTGGATTCCATTGATCCACCAGTCTGTTTCTATGCCAGTGTCATGCAGTTTTTATTACTGTTTATTATTATTATTATTATTAGTATTATTATTAGTTACATTTTATTAACTCTGCATCCCAGCTGTCTCCTGCTCCCTCATTCCATCCCAACCTCACTCTCCCTCCCTCATCTCCTTCCTTCCCCTTTCCAAGTCCACTGATTAGGGAGGACCTCTTCCCCATTCATCCGATCCTGTTTTATCAGGTATCTTCAGGACTGGCTGCAAAGCTCTCCTCTGTGGCCTAGCAGGACTGCTCCTCCCTTAGGGGGTGGAGAGGTCAAAGAGCCTGCCATTGAGTTCCTTTCAGAAATAGTCCCTGTTCTCCTTACTATGGGAAACCAATTGGTTACTGAGCTACCACAGGCTACATCTGAGCAGAGGTTCTAGGTTATATCCATACATGGTCCTTGGTGGAGAAACAGTCTCAGAAAATACCCCTGTGCCCAGATATATTTGGTCCTTGTGGAGCTCCTATTCTCTCCACATCATACTAACTGCCCCTTCTTTCATATTATTCCCTGCACTCTGCCGAAGGTTTGGTTATGAGACTTACTATCTGCTTTGATACACTGCTAGCTAGTGTTTCAGAGGTCCTCTGCAGTAGGCTCCTGTCCTGTTTCTTGTTTTCTCCTACATCCAATGCACATCCCATTTGTCTTTCTAAGTGAGGATTGATCATCTTACCCCAGGTCCTCTTTCTTGTTTATCTTACCCCTGGTCCCAGTTGTGGGATATGGGACTGACTCAGGTGGTCCACAGCATTAGACTATCTGCCTTTTGTGGGCTCTGAGAGGAGTGCTTTGTCAGCTGAAGATAGTTTGAATCTGTGGACTATGGAGAAATGATAAATGCCAGAGTTCAGAGAGTGAAGAAGGGAAAAAGAACAAGGCTGTGCCTGCTTCACCCTTGCTATTCTTGGTTGCTGTTGTGAGAGAAGAATTTGAAGATCTCCTGAAAGAAGGATTGGACTGGCTCCAAGGAATCCAACAACCCTAACCAGAAGGAATCAGCTAGGAAGACTGTGCTCCCTCTCCCACTAAGCCTTCCTCTTTCCTACCTGGTGTTGGGGTATTGGAAGGAATTGGAGTGGAGTAGGAAGAAAAGATAAAATGAATGTAAATAAAAGATATATCTATTTTTTTAAGTACAACACCAGTCTCCCTATAAAGGTGCTTAGTGCTATAAATTTTCCTCTTAGCACTGCTTTCATTCTGTCTCATAAGTTTGAGGATGTTGTGTCTTAATTTTCATTGAATTTTAGGGCATCCTTAATTTTTTCTTTATTTCTTTCCTGACTCAGATGTCATTGAGAAGGAGTTGTTCATTTTCCATGTGTGTTTTGGCCTTTTGTTACTTCTGTTGTTGATGTCCAGCTTTAGTTCATAGTGGTCTGATAGGATATGACATATTTTTTTTTTTCAATCTTCTTGTATCTATTAAGGCTTGCTTTGTCACCTACAATGTGGTCAGTTTTGGAGTAAATTCCTTGAGGTGCTGAGAAAAACGTAAATTATTTTGTTTTTGGGTAAAATGTTCTGTAGATGTCTGTTAAGTCCATTTGATTCATGACATCTCTTAGTTTCATTGTCTCTCGGTTTAGCTTCTGTGTCGTTGATCTGTCCTTTGAGGAGAGTATAGTGTTAAAGTCTCCTACTATTAATGTGTGTGGATAGATGTGTGGTTTAAGATTTATTAATATTTCTATTACAAATGTAGGTGCCCTTGTATTTGGGGCACAGATGTTCAGAATTGAGATGTCTTCTTGGTGGAATTTTCCTTTGCTGTGTATGAAGTGTCCTTTCCTATCTCTTTTTATTAATTTTGGTTGAAAGTCTATTCTATTAGATATTAGAATGGCTATTCCTGCTTGCTTGGAAAACCTTCTTCCAGTCCTTTATT